ACCGGCAGAACGCCGAGTTCTTCGTGTGCTCGTGCGTCGGCAAGGGTGCCGTCAACGTCCCGAGGACCCCCGGCGGCGTCATGTACCACCAGAGGTGGAACAACCTCCAGTTCGTCACCAGCGCGTCCTTCTTGCTGACGGTGTACGCCGACTACGCCACGGTGGCCGGCAGGGGCGCCGTGCGCTGCCCTGGCGGCGCCGCGCAGCCCTTCGAGATCCTCGCGTTTGTAAAGTCCCAGGTGAACTACATCCTGGGCGACAACCCGAGGGCGACGAGCTACATGGTGGGGTACGGGCTGAACTACCCGCGGCAGGTGCACCACCGGGGCGCCTCCATCGTGTCGGTGAGGACCGACCCGTCGTTCGTGAGCTGCCAGGAGGGCTACTCCAGCTGGTACAACAAGCAGGCCGTCAACCCCAACATTCTCGACGGCGCCATCGTCGGGGGCCCCGACGAGTACGACGACTTCGCCGACGAGCGGAACAACTACGAGCAGACCGAGGCGGCCACCTACAACAGCGCGCCGCTGCTCGGCGTCCTCGCCCGCCTCGCCGGCGCCTGCGGCGGGCTGGACGAGTACCAGTCGCTCCCGCAGGTGGCTGCAAACCGCACGTCACGGCCGGCTCATCGTCGGCATCCTCACCTTGAAGTCGAGCAGAACGTGACGAGGACATGGGCGATCAGGCGCAGGACCTACCATAGGTACTCGGTCACGGTGACCAACAGGTCCCGGAAGACGGTGCGGGGGCTCCACCTCGGCGTCTCGGAGCTCGACGGCCGGCTCTGGGGCCTCGACAAGGCGCGGTACGGGTACGTTCCACGGAGGTGGCTGCGGGCGCTGCGCCCCGGGAGGAGCGTCAGGTTTGGGTACGTGCAGCCCGGCCCTCCGGCCAATGTGTGGGTCACCGGATACAAGCTGGTGTGAGTGAACTCTTGTTTCCATGTTTGAGGTCCTAGGGTAATCCAGAGTTTTTGGTGCGTGTGCGCGTGCGTGTGTGCGCGCGCGTGTGTGTGTGTGTGTGTGTTAGGCACGAGTTAGTGATGGGTCACTGGGATGGGAGGAAGGAGTGAAGAGATAAAAAATGCCATGGTGCTCATCCTCTTCCTCCCGAGAGGGTTTGGTTAGGCCAGAGAGGAATTTGAATTTTAGAGAGATGAGATGTAATGTTCATCCTTCTTACTCCCTCCATTCTGAATTACTTGTCGCATGAATGGATGTATCTAGATGTATTTTAGTTTAGATACATCCATTTCAGCAACGAGTAATTTGAAACAGAGGAAGTACATTTCAAGGGTTTTTAAAAAAGGATGCAAGGCATTACCCCAGCTTTAAGTTAATAAAAGCTCCAAATGCCCTAAAATACTGACTGTTAGTGGTGTCCTATCATTTCAGCTACATTCTTCAGTCAATGCCCTGAAACACTGACTGTTTGGTTGTGCCCAAGAGAACAAGGTCTGAGTAGAACTAGATAGGACAACAATGACTGTCTGCTAAGAAAAAGGTTAGATCCCAACCATTTGAGCTGCATTTTCAGAGCTAAGAAGGCACAACCATTTGAGCTGCATGCACTTTCAGAGCTAAAGAGAATGTGTAGTTTCTATACTGAAGAAAAAGAAAAACTGCTCAGCTACAACCTACAACACTCGTTGCTGTCTAAAAAGAAAGCGCCCCAACCTCGAATGCACCGATACGGATACGGGTATCAGTATCGGGCCAATTCAGATACGTAAATTCGTCATTTCAAAAAAGTGCCAATACGGATACGTTGTAGCTACTCAAAGCAGTCTGGGGAGATGAGAATATGAGATCTTCAGAGATCAGAGAAGAAAGAAGAGGAGATGAGCTTGGATGGGCAAGAGAAATGAGAAGTGTACATACATGGCTACTGCGTGAGAGGGGACGTTGGTGAGGAGGATGGATGTTGCGTGATAGGGGATGTTGGTGAGGTGAGGAGGAGCCTGTCACTGGCCCTGGGACCTGGGTGAGCTGCCGCTGGGGACACAGCCGCCGCCTGGTGTGAGCATGGGAGGGAGGAAAGACGCAGAGAGGGAAAGGATGGGGGGCATCGGGGCACTAGGGTTGCTGGTTGCCTCTTAACTGGGCTGAGTGGGCTCTTACCTAGGCTGAAAAAGTATCCAAAACGTACTGACAAAGTATCCTTCAAGTATCGTAATTGTTTTAAATCATTTATTCTCGGATACTCAAGGGATACGTATGGGGCGTATCGGTATCAGATACGGTATCCGATACTGATACGCTGGTCGACTGAAGTATCCGTGCATTCAAGGCCCCAACTATGTGAGCTACGGTTTTCAGATCTAAGAACAATGAGCAGCATGATCAGATTAGTGCAGCATTTTGATCATACTGAAGAATTTTTTTTTAGAAACGGAGGCAAAAGCTTTGCCTCATCCTTTAAATAAGAGAGAATAGAGTTTGTTACAAATCACCCACGACACCACATGGATTATTACTCTCGCGATATGAAAGACCCTAATTTTTTTGCACGGGCGGTGACCCAAAGGTTGGCCTCGGTCGTGATGGTGTTAAGCAAGATAGTCGGTGGAGCGCTTTTAAACCTAAACACTCTTGCATTTCGCTCATTCCAAATTGTCCATGACACAAGCATGGTGAGGGAGGCTTTGGCTTGACGGTTTGGCGTGCCGGCGTCACAAGTGCTTGTCCACCAAGCGTTGACGGAGTCCAACAAGTGCCATGAAGAGGTGTCCAACTCGAAGATGTGAAATTTTTCAATGACCAACGCCCACAGCCTTAGAGTATAGCGGCACTTGAAGAATAGGTGTGACCCGCTTTCTTGCACCCTCTTGCAAAGTGGACACAAACCACAATTTGGCCATCCTCTCTTGGCTAATCTGTCTGCGGTCCAAATTCTATCTTGAAGTGCCAACCAAGCAAAGAACTTTACTTTGGGGGGACCCCAGACCTTCCAAACCATTTGGTCCATGGGTGAAAACACCATCCCTATGAATTGCGCCTTATATGCCGAGGCCGCCGAGTAGTGCCCACTAGTCGTGTGTTTCCATAAAATGTCGTCCTCGGCGAGCGCATCAAGATGCACCTCATCCAATAGCATCCAAAGGGTGAAAAAAAGGAATGACTAGTGATTTAAAAAGGAATTATGGCAAACAAGCTACACAAATTAAAATAGTGATTTAAAAAGGAATTATGGCAATCAATTTTTCTTCAGTCATAGTGCAGCTAACTGAGAGATGACTTGCTTGATGTAGAAAAAGAGGGAGCAGCAGGAGCAGTGCTTCTTCGACGCTGTGCCCTCTTCGACGTTTCATGTGGCACCGCCACATGTGGACCTCAAGTTAGACTTGCTTGATGAAAAATAAAAACGGGCGGATGAAAAGCCTGCGTACAAAGAAGCGTTGGTAAGGCCAACACAGGGATGCAGAGAAGATAGCCTTGGGAAATGAAAGAACAACACACTGATAGGCAAAAACACTAAGGCTGCGCTTGGTATAGATGTAATTTAATACACGTGTATTAAATTTCCGGGTGTAATTTACATGCCAAGAGTTATTTTCGCCTGGAAACCAAAACGACGGACAGAGATCTGTACCTTTTACCGGTGTAAGTGGAGGAAAACGAGGATCCAAGCAGGAAGAAGGGGACTGGGAGGAACACTGAATATGACTGAAGAAATAACAGCGAGTATGACTAAATAATTTACACTGAATATGACATATGACTGAACAAATAACACTGAATATGACTGAAGAAAAATTGATAAACTGAAGACACTGGATATGACTGAAGATAAATTGATAAACTGAGGAAATAAATAACACTGAGTAACAGAGAAAACTTCCACAATTTCCTGTGAGCTGCAGCCTCATCTTCTAGTATATATACAACATAAAGGATACAAGCTGGTGTGAACTCTGTCGTGTTTGCTGCGGTCCTAGGATAATCTAGAGTTTTTGGTGTGTGTGTGTGTGTGTGTGTGTGTGTGTGTGTGTGTGTTAGGTGCGAGTTAGTTATGGGATCACTGGGATGGGAGGAAGGAGTGAAGAGATAAAAAATGTCATTGTGCTCATCCTCATGCTCCCGAGACTGTTTGGTTAGGCCAGAGAGGAACTTGGATTTTAGGGACATGGAGATGTAATGTTCATCCTTCTTACCTTTTCAAGTTTTTTTCAAGTTAATAAAGCTCCAAATGCCCAACGGATACAAGGTGCCGAAGAGAAGAACATAAGAAGAGCTAGGAGTGCTGTTTCAGAGCTTAGAAGCTAAGAAGGTACACCATGTGAGCTGCAGGCAGTTTCAGAGCTAAAGAAAATGTGCAGTTTGTCCTGAAGCAAAGAGAAAAACTGCTCAGCTACGACACTGACTGCTGTCCAAAAAGATAGATCCCAACTACGTGTGCTACAGTTTTCAGATCTAACAATATGATCAGATTAATCCATCATTTTGATCATACTGAAGAGTGACTAATGATTTAAAAATGAATAGTGACAAACAAGCCAAAAAATAAAAAGAGTGCAACCAACTGAGACATGACTAAGAAAGGAAATGACTAACCAACTGGCAATGTAGAAAGAGGGAGCAGCAGGAGCAATGCCTCTTCGATGATAGAGCCATATGCATGGGTCATCCTTGATGCTGTTAATCACCTGGGTCCTGGGGACAATCCGACTCAACATCGACATGGTCAATATCCAGTCAGTAGCATGCAATAAGGAATCTTACTCCACAATCCACATTGTCCATTTGAAATAAACATTTTGGCCATGTTCGCTGTCCTCACATGCTGAAAAAAAACATTGCTCGGAGAGGCACACGAGGCGGGGCGTATCGCACGAGTTGTTTCCCTATAATTAGGTAAAATGAAACCTCATTTCCTATAAAATGAAAAATTATCTTGTATAGATGAAGAATATAGGTAGAATGAAAAAAAAAATATTTGTTCTGTCTCGATATTCTGAATAGATCTTGTTGCTCAGATTGCCACTCTGTGGAAGAATGCTACTAGTAATCAGCGTCATGGTAATCCTCATAGGCTCCACCACCACCATCATCAACGTAGCCATCGTTGTTGTAATCAGCATCGTGACCATAATCATAACTGACATCAAATGTTTCACCATAACCAGTATCCTCTTCATAATGCTCGTCGAAGTGCATGTCATCTTTGCCATTTGCTTTCCCATCTTCGTCTTCAATCTGCACGCAAAATCTCAGTAAGCATTTGAATGGCAGGAAATATAATAAGTAAACAAGATATTCCTCTTATTAGTTTGGATGAGATGGGGAAACACTTGGGCTGGATAATAAAAGAACATTGTATGAAAATTTTAGGATACATCAAGCTCCAGTGAACATAAAAGGCAAAAACATACCTTGTACAATCCACTAACAGCTTCAACATTGACTTTAGACCCAAGTCCCTGCAAAAGGAGCAATGTTACATACTAAATGTTAGCTCGTTTGCGCGCAAAGTTTAACATGTAACTATAATAGTCACATGGCGACGTATATTTTGGATGTCTATGGCTGCACAAAATGTCGAGTACCTTTCGTTTCAACATGTTGTATGTTGCTTCTGCTGGTGTTTCAGCAGGTGTGGAGTTCTTGTCTTCATTACGTTTTCGTTTCTACATTAAAGAAAACATCCCTGGCTAATCATGAACTGTACCAAAAATAGTTTTGAGGAAGATGTGTGCAAAGGACACTTGGGCTACACTAAAACATTTCATACCTTCTGCCGTCCCTCTCCAACAGATACACCTCTAGCTGCCAGTTCAGCCGCTAAAGCTTCCTTTGCAGCTTGTTCCTGTAAAAGAGGTCAGCAGATATTTACACCCTCTTGTCAGAACAAGAAACTGCCTCATGATGATAAGTACCTCTAGGTATTCTTTGTTCATTTCCTCCCAGATAATCTTTTTGGTTTGTGTTTCTTCTTCACTGTGAAGATAACCGTCAACCTGCAAATTTACCAAATATTAATTACAGGAAATCAGAAAGAATGGCCATATCTCAGGCTCTAACTAGGGATGCGATAATTAGTCTGTTACAACATCTCATGGATAAGTACCTCCGCATCATCAATATCAGAAAGATTTTCTGCATCAGAACCAGTTTTACCATTTTCACCTAAGGATGCAACAAGGCATCCAGAAAGTTGATTAGCCATTTGCTTGTCAATACAAACTAAAAGGCAAAATGACACTGAAATTATTGTAGAGTACTATCAATATTAATGGGAAAGTGGGTCCCTATTTTAGGTCTTCGCGCGGGGTGTGGAAGGCAGGCCCGTCTCCCCCTCCTCTTTAACCCTGCGGTTGACGCCCAAGCGGCTACCTAGAAGAAGGCTAAGATAGCCGGCCACATCAATGGTGTGGTTGGGCACATTATCTCTGGAGGTGGTGACCCACCTCCAGTATGCAGATAAAACCATGATCATGGTGGAGGGGTCAAACTAGATATTATCAATCTTAAGTTCCTCATCCTCTGCTTTGAGGCCATGTCGGAACTCAAGATCAACTTCGGTAAAAGCAAGGTCGTGGTCGTGGGGTACCTGCCCGAGTAGCAGCAGCGGATTGCAAACAACCTTAATTGCAAGTTCTCTTTCCCAATCACCTACCTGAGGATGCCGACCCTGATCGGGA